GGGTTGGCTGCGTTGATATCTTCTTGTGTTCCTAATGATAAAGCAGAATGGACCAAGAAAGAGGTTAGACTTGAGCTGAGAGCAAAATGAAATTGCCGCATGCATGCATGCATGCATGCATGCATGCATGCCACTTTCATTCAGCAAAGGGGTAGAGGAACAGCCTCGGAAAACAGATCAAATGAACTCCGAACTCTGGTGACATGCTTTTGCATGCTGGTTCACTAGCGGACCGTACCTGTATGTTTGTTGATGGATGAGACTGGATGAGGAACTGACCGTTGCCTTGCACGAGGACGAACCGCCGCAAGACGATGGATGGACTAGAAGAAGCCGTGGCGGTTGGTTGCTGGCCAAAGAGTGGGCGATACGTCGTCGTCGTGCATTGCTTTGTTGTTGAAGAAGTTTGTCGTTTGTCGAAGAAGTTGTTTGTTCGTTGTGTTGTTGAGTGAAACTGGCTTTCTTTCTCTTTCTCTTTGGCCAAAGCGCAACCGTTTCTTTTCTGCGACAACTTTTTGGCAAGACCACCTCAAAATCGAAAAAGGTGTCAACATCAAAACAAGGTTGTTTCAAAACGGTTTCTCGTGAACTTTGGCAAACGGAAAGCAAAACGGAAACGTCGGCGAAGGTTCGAGATAGTAGTAAAGTCGTGTCGTTGTAGCTACCAAAGAGATCACAAAGGGTCTTCTCTGCCTTGGTACGATACTGTAGCATTCAGAAGGAACCGTCTGCCTGAGTTGCAATCGAAAAGCAGAGGCATGAAGCTGTGGGGAGTGTCAAGAAGAAAGAATAATCATCTACCGGTTTCGTGAATGGCTGAAGTTAACGGTCAACTCGATCAACTCGGGAGTTTCCCAGCATAATGGAGCCTCTGACGTCTCCGTTGAGGATACACCGACCAGTACGATACATTGAAGTGTCATGGTAAGACGGAAGAAGGATAACATGGTTGAAAGTGGAAGAACGAGGACGCGGAGAATTGGAAAGTTAGTTGATCGCTCCAACGGTCTGACCGAGGGAACCCAAATTGTGATTGCGTTGAGCTGTGAGCAACGGTGTGACGGCAGGCTGCTCTTCTCGTAAGTACCATAAAAATGCTTTGGTCGAATCGTCACCCCCGGCGTCAATCTGGCACGCCCGGCATGCCTGTTTCCCTTTCTTGCACGAAAGCTTCCACTCAACCACTCATTATTTTTAAAAAGAAATGCAACCAGCTCGGGTCATTTCTCGCAAGTCGGATTTAGAGTCGTTACAAAATATTTATTAATACATTCTCCAGTGGTTCTCATGGGTCATAAACAAGAATTATAGACGCTACGAAATGTTTAACACCACGAGATCCCCTTTTCAAGAATCAACCACCCACTTGCCTTCTCCGCGCTCAATCGTACCTAGAAAGAGATAAGCCCTTACCCTGTCAATTAAGTGGTCACATATTTGTCGCGTTTTATGGTTTACGCTGTACTGTGCGACCAGTCTGCCGATTTGTTTTGGGTTCTGACGTTGAACTACTACTAGTACTGCGGTGTAGCTGGTGCATCTCTTTTGGCAAACTATATATTTATCTAATCTCTACCTTCGGCCGTAGTAAGCTGTCTCTATCTCATCTATATATACCTTGGCCGACGCACACTCTGTATTCCTACCGTATCTCTAGCTAGCTAGAGAACCAATCCATTGCCAAGGGCCCTGTGGGCACGGCAACCCTCAGGTTTGGAAACTCCACACTTTCCACCCCACGTGCAACCTCCAGCTCCACACCAGCCGCCATGGGCACCGGTATACCATGTGCAAGCTCCACTGTCGTCCACTTTCTGAGTTGTGGTACAATCACCACAGTTGGTCGGTTTGGAGCAGCGAGCTTCATTCGTCTTGTCCGTCTGGTACAACCAACAAATTTGTTGGGAATCGAGTTGCGGAAAGTTGGATGGAGCGTAGCAGCTGGCATCGGCAATGGCAAAGCAATCGGCCTCACAGGCACCGTCAAACCAGGCGCAGTTGGCACTGTCATTCAAACAACTGTTGCAGCTCGTGTTGCTCCTGCAGGGAGAAGCGCTAGTGAGAGCAACGGCGGAGAGGAGGAGAACGATAGTCTTGGTAATGGATTTCATGGTTGTTTGTTTGTTTTGGATATAGTGTTTGGGGTTTGTTTGCTTGTTTGCTTTTGTTTCGTTTTGTGAGCTTCCTGTGGGCAGGAGAATTGCTCTGAGTGCCTGTCTCACGTTCTCACCAGCTTGAGTCGAGTCGAGTCACACTCTGGAGTGGGGTGGTCGCTTCCCAATTCATCATTCGCGCTTGGTGGGTGAAACAGGTCGACTATGGTACGTTGGGATAATGTACGATACCACTTGCTTGTAGACCTAGATTGGGCTGTTTGCTATGCTGTTCCTCCTCGCGCTTTGCCGTCCTTTCAACTAATGAAGTCGTCTCAAGTATCAAGCAACAAAGCAAGATGTGTGTTTTTCGCGTGTCTGAAGTGCCGAAGTTTTGGCTTCGCTGCAACCTTGGGCTGGCTAAATCACCTACCGGCACTGTAGTTACATCCATGTTAACTACATGTAGTCGGCTCATGAAAAACCCTGCAGGGTAATGCTGGGAATTTGTTCTTCGAGGTTGTCAACAGAGAGACAGCCCTTTTGTGTCAACTACATTCCATCAGTGCTTCGTTTCGTTGCTGGAAAGGGAACAGCTTCGTACAATGCACTCATCTTGCTCCTAGCTACGATAGCTAGTAAAAGACTCCCCGTAACGAATCGTCTCTTCTTGCTTTGATTTTCTGCTTGCTTCCGGTTGAGCTTGTACCGCTATGCTTCGGCAGCCAGGCCTCACCTCACAATACCGTGACGTAATCGTAGCTTTGGCGGCTTCGGGTAAGATCCAAAATCCAAGAAAAGATGAGTCTCAGAACATTCGGTTCAGCTCTCTGCGTGTCATAGTAGAGCAAACCCTGGATCTATTATAGTATCGACGCGAGACAGAGAAGATGATGAGACTCTGTGGTTACCTCCGCTTAGCAGTGACTTTGGTTCTTTTGATACCACTGGTCCGTTCGACAGAAGATGATACTCACAACAACAACTACTACATTATGATTGGAGTGTCGGGAGGTTTGCAAGAAGGCTTTCCAGCACACGACAAGCTGCACTATAACCAAGGCAGTTTGGAGGACGAAGTAGTGAAGGCCATCTTTTTGGGCCGTGGATTGGTGCGTGGGTACAAGGCCTTTTTGGATTTGATGCAAGAGGGATGGCGTGAATATACCGAGACGGATCGGGCTGTGATTAATCCCAACGTGTTTGCCAGTGGTTGTCAGGAACACGCCAATGAATATTGGATCTATCTCGTGGATGCCCGACAAGTCATGTCTGTTCTGAACCATGAACCACGACATTTGAGTATGACACCGGATACCGGCATGATTGAACTAGAAGCGGAGGAAACACATTCCCTGGTGAGAGACTTTTTGACGACCCATATTCGACAACAACATCGTGCCAGTAAGAAAAAGATTGACAAGGTTGCCATTCCCTTGGTGACAGCAGTCTATTTCAATGCTGCCAGTCATATTCCTTCTCCACCCATTCGAATTCATGACGATGGTACCCAAGTGACCAATTTTCCGGATAGTTTGGCGTTGTGGGCCGGAGTGGACGACCGGGACCGTACCATGGTGGTGGACTATCACAAGTCTTGTCGTCATCATCGTCGCGAGGAATGCACTGACGCGGCTCTGGAAGAGGCAACCCAAGCGTACAATCGGTATTGGGCAGGTATCCGACAAGCCATTGGCAAGGCGGAGGAGAAACGGCAGAAATTGGAGAAACAGGAGGCAATAAGTGGTCCTCCGTTTCAATGTCAGAAACGGGTGAAATTTGGAGTGGGCAAGGAAGAGGATCCAGACAATACATCGACACGAGTCAACTATCCCATGACGGGAGCACAAATTGAATCCGTCTTGAAGGAGATTGGATTTCAAGTGGATCTTGCAGAGGGGGAAGTGGTGGATCCTCTATCGGAAAAGCAGGATGAACCTGATCTATAGATTGTGCTGGCCCATGAAAGCCAATTTTGAATACGATTTTGAATATATGTGTTGACAAAAGGAACTAGCTTATAGGTTATGGTTAGCAGCTCTATCAGTTACTTGACTTCACACAACTGAACTTCAGTAGCTACTAGCTAGCTAGCTAGCACCATTGACAGCCTCAATCAATGCTTTGGAATTGGACACGGCACCAAAGACACCGCCCTGTTTCTTAATCATACTCAAGATCGCATTATGATTGGCCGGATCGGTGGCAGCACAACAATCTTCCAACAACATACATTCGTATCCCAGGTCATTGGCATGTCGTTGCGTGGTGGAAACACAGACATCCGTGGTGACACCCGCAAGAATGATATTGCGAATGCCTTTGGTCCTCAGTATCAAATCTAAACTGGTCCCGACAAAGGATCCCTTGCCTGGCTTGTCAATGACAATTTCCTTCTCCAACGGGGCCAATTCGGGGATGATTTCCCACCCGGGTTCTCCAATGACCAATATGCGACCACAGGGACCCGGCGATCCAATTCCGGCACCAATTTGTTGGGATCGCCATTGCTTGTTGGCAGGACAATCGGACAAGTCAGGTCGATGGCCTTCTCGAGTGTGCAAGATATGAAATCCTTTGGCTCGCAGGCATTCAAAGACCTTGGATATTGGTTCAATCGGGGCACGAGTCAAGCTGATATCGTATCCCATCTTGTCCACATATCCACCGGGAGCACAAAAGTCAACTTGCATATCTATCTTTTGCCAGCCATTGGATATATGTAGAGGAGGTAGATAATGGAACAGCGAAAGCGAAAAAGGATAAGAGAGTTCTAAAAAAAAAACAGAAAGACAGGATACCCACAACAGAGATGAAGCGAATCATATCCTACCAATGACGATTAAGCAAGTATTTTCTGGAGCGAGATTGCCATCGTATGGCCATTGATATGGGTCTGCGTTGATGTACTTTTTGGTGCCGTTCATGGTGGCTCTTTATTATATAAATTGTTTACTTCCACAAAGAATGAAGATCTTGGAGGGAGGTGTCAGGGTATCTTTCTTATAGTCTTCCTGCTCACCGTGTTGCCAAAACATAAGCGGCACCAACTCTGCCAAATCCCATGGTTGAAGTTCTTTTTCTTGTACTTGCCGGGGTACTTTTACGTTTAAAGGATTTAATACAGGAGTCTCCCAGACTTAATGCGAAAACTGAGATTTAATGAACTTGGGAAGTGGATCATCCGATTGTGTCCTCAGAACCGATCTCCTTGGATCCGAATGGTGCTGCTTCCTTACAATCCTCTCGCAAGAATTCTTGATCTTCCGTGCTTTGAGACGGAGCCCGTTGGTTCGTTCCAGCTGTCACCGAAAGTCGAGGAAGATATCGAGAAGCCTATGCCCAAGTAAGTGGTTGCATCGCAGTGAGTGTGTTGCAGACAGGTCCAATCATCACTGGATAAAAAGTCCGTGTTGTGGTGAGGAGGGAGGCCCCGAACCTGACCTTTCAGTGAAACCTTTTTGTATCTATCTGTGAAAGCAGCATCATGCAGCGACGATTGCTACCAATTATTGTGATCCACACCACGCAGGGCTTTTTCGCTGGTGTTATTTTATTATCAGCAAACAAACTCTCATCATAATCTCAAAATCTTCTGGAACAGAAAACCTCAAGAAAAGCCAATAGTTTGTTACCACCGCCACAATGGACGAGCAGCCAGCCAGCACCGAGAACAGTGGGCCTCCCTACAAAAATGGAGGGTTTGTTCAGCAACTCATTGACTTCAAGAATGGGTACTCGATGAGAGGAGGAGATTGGGGTAGTCTCACACAGGTAAGCAATCCGACAAACAGACAGACAGACAGACAGACACGAAAAGCGAGCAAATAATGGGGCACGAACAACTCACACCCAAATGACCGTACTTTTTGCAAAAACCAAACAGATCTTCTTTGACAATCTCTCTACCCTCTTGGGGGCGTTGTTTGCCATTCAAGATATGCGCAATTTTGGAGCTCCTATTGATTCCATCAACGCAGTCATTTGGGGCAAGATTGTCCCTGGTGTTGGGTTGACCATGCTTCTTGGGAATACCTACTACACCTGGCAAGCCATTCGGTTGACCAAGAACTGGGGACGTCCCTACACAGCCCAACCCTATGGACTCAACACACCTGCCGCCTTTGCATTTGTCTTCAACATCATGTACCCCGTCTACTTTGCTAATTTAGATGAAGTGGGCCCCACGGAAGCGTTTGCCAGGGCTTACAAGGTGGCTCTGGCTGCCAATTTCATCACAGGACTCATCTCCACGGTGTTGGCATTCTTTGGTCCCTTTATCCTCAAAGTTGTTCCTCCTGCAGCTCTATTGGTCCCCATCGCTGGTATCGGTGTTGCCTTTTTGGGGCTTGAACAAGTCACAAATAGTTTGGCTGCGCCTATTGTCGGATACAATTGTATCATGTGGGTATTCTTGGGATGGTATTCTGGAGTCCGCCTTGGCTATGGTTCATTCCGTCTGCCAGAAGCTCTTCAGGTCATTTTGGTGGGGATCATTTTGGGATGGATCACAGGTCTCAATCAAGGACAAACTGTTAAGGATGCAGCTGATTTGGTCAAATGGTATGGACCTGACTGGTCAGCAGGTGATCTCTTTGCTGACTTTGGATTGGTCAAGGATTATATGGGCATTGTCATCCCCATTGGAATCTCTGCCACTGCCACTTCTTTGATGTGTTTGGTCAGTGCTAAGCAGGCAGGAGATCCTTATCCAGTCCGAGAGAGTCTGATTGTTGATGGAATTGGAACGGTGAGTCAAAGTAGTTGCAGCCAGACTCCTCAGGCGTATGGAGCAAGCAAGAACCCTTCAACCTCACCCTTCTTCTTCCTTCCTTCATTTGCCAGATGATTGCCAGCTTCTTTGGAAGTCCCTTTGGAACTGTCCTTTACATTGTAAGTGAAGTGGTTGTTCCGCATTCCTTCTGCTTGCTTGAGTTCCTAGAATAGTCCCCTTCTCACCGCAATCCTCATTCCATCTTTTTCCAGGGTCACCCTGCATACAAGAAGAGTGGTGCTCTCACTGGATACAGTCTTACAAATGGATTCATTTACCTCTTCCTATCCTGGTTTGGAATTCTTGCATTGGTGCAATCCATTGTCAACCAAGCCACCATTGGACCCATTGTGCTCTTTGTTGGTCTTGCAGTGAATGAGGAGGCTCTCCACTTCATCCCCTCAAGACATTATGCTGCCTATGTGGTTGGGTACGTGCACAGATCAATTCAACTCAAATGACCCAACTCACTTGCTCACGCTAACCTTAATGTTGCCTTGGCTCTCATCCAACCAACCAACAACTACAGTCTTTTCCCCTCCATCTATGACTGGGTTGTCAACGTTTCAAACAGGAGCCCCATCCAAGATGATTATGGAGGCAACATCAATGTGACTGGCTTGAGCGGCTGGTTTGGAGTCTTGGCTTGGAAGAGAGGTGCTCTCTTGGTGTCCTTTGTGTGGGTGGCAATGCTTGTCAAAGTAATTGATCGTCACTGGTCCATGGCAGCAGTCTGGTCCATGATTGGGGCTGCCTTTGCGCTGTTTGGAATCATCCATGTTCCTGAAGCAGGATTTGATACTTTTGCTCAGCCAACATGGGAACAATGCAGCACTGTTACATCCTGTACTGGAGAAGGGGAGTCAGAAGTATGCACAAGCAATGCGGAGTGTTGGGACAATGGTGAACAGTGGATGTTCTTTTTGGCATATTTGATGTTGGCAGCCACCTTTGCCCTTCTTTTCGTTGCCCAAAAGTATGGAAATGATCCCACCTTGTTGCCACCCATGGTTGATGAAGAAAGTGACATGGCCTTTGCAGATTGGTTTGCTGATGCTGCAGTTGACACTAGCAAGCACCCTGCAACTGTAGAGGAAGAGCAAGAAGAAGAACGGAGCATGGGTACTGATCCTCTCAACCCAAAGACGGTTGAAGACTCTCCCCCAGATTCTGAAGAAGACATCAAAATGGAAGTGTCGGCTTAGAAGCGCTTGCATTCCCCAGAAACCGGAGCCATTCTTTGATCTGATAATGACTTGGCTTGATCGTTCACCGATCCTCCATGTTTGCCTGTTGATTGCATATGATTTTGAATCTCTTTTGTCCGTAGTAGTTCCGTAACAATAGAGTGCAATTTTGCTCTTGTCTCTGCTTCGATATCTGGTACCCTGTACTTTTGAAAGCGACAGTTGTTCTCGTCTTCAGCGTGCCAACCTTACCAGCCCTTCCTGCTTCGGCTTTGCACAGAGTTTCACAAGAGCCGAGTGAGACTCGTGACGGTTCCGTTCTACAGCTCCGGTACTTTTGATTGCTGTCTTTGGTCGGATTAGTTGCCGTGTCAATACATGTACAAGTGCCTCGTCTGCCTCATACCACGGTTTGAGCAACGGGCGGAGGAGCCACGCTTAATGGAATGAGATTTCCCCCGAGGTGGTATGTTCCACGGAGAAACGTTGATGCTGCTCTGTGCTTCCGACAGGGACGGATCGAGCGACCGACTTGGTTTGCTAAATATGGCAATCGTACGATCTCTGCCTGCTAGCTACGATGTACGGTAGTTCGAACAAGGGACTTCCGTCGTGAGCCGTTGCATACCGCAGTCACTGTACACTGCCTACCGTAGCTAATAGGCGCTGGTCCCGCAATATTCCAGGTCAGCCAATGCCTCTCCAAAGATTGTCTCGGACTCGACTCGATCATCTTGAGGTTGGAAAAGAGGCCTCGTTGTTTCCGATCACGAATCGAATCGGTATGTGACCTCGTAGCCCGTCTTCTCGGCGGCCGTGCGTCAAATTCGCTCTTCCTCATGTCCTCTTCGTTGATTGAACTCCAACGATACCAACAAACGGATACTGCTGACTGCTGATGGATCGCCTCTTGGTTCATGACCAATATGCGCCAGTGCTAGTCCCACCGATCACCCCAAGAGTCTTCTACTCTACCATGGTTGGTTGCTGCTACTATGATGAGGACGAAGAACGAAAATGGGCGAGACTTGTAAGCAAGAGCGTCGGTGTACCGTCGAAGATGGGGATGGTTTGTTTGTTGCTCTCCCACAGAGATTGCGAGCTGTTGCATTGGATTGCAAGGAATGTGACATGCAGGTTACTATGCGGTTAGAGCGTCTTTGAGGAGGAAGGCACTAGCCACATGGGGGGGGTTAGAGTAGGTAGATTATCTACGGAAGCCAACTGGGGCCAAGCTTAAGCAAAGAACAGTCCGAATTCAGGACTGGGTTCTGTGGGATCAGGGGGGAGAAATTGAGGACCATTTCGGGGGCTTTGCGGGAGCCACCAAGACATAAATGGGTACAGTAGCTTTCATAAGAGCAATAGAGATGTGGGTCTGCATAAAGAACATCATTTGAGAGTAGGAAAACTGCGCTTTGCTTGCTGGGAGCCCTATGGCTAACTAGTCTTGAGGAGGGAAATCGAGGGCAAGGAGCAAGGGGGCGAGCCGGGCAGCCATCAGAGCTTACCAACAACTGCACAAGGAGGAAAGGGTGGCAAGGAATGAGGTCAGGCAGTGATGAAAGGAGAATGAATCAAAGGACAAAGACTACGACTGGAGCGGTAGAGATCAACAGCGCCAATGCCCGTACCGTATGCAGTGCAAAAAGCCGGACAAAGAGACTCGCCAGCATTTCGAGTACATGACGTATTTACCTGTCTGTACCGGTAGGCAAGCCCGCTAAGCTAGAGACATGTAGCTAGCTAGCTACTAGCTAGCTAGAGGATCTGAGACAGAGTATTTTTTAAAATTAAAAGCCTTTTGTAAATCAAGACCAGCATTAATTTTTAAAATAGCATTTTGTTTTCAAACTTTTTTGAAAAACAGGATGTCATTTCAAATTGAGCACCTCGCGCGATCTCGCGCGACATCGCGCGATCGCGCGATCTCGTAGGACTCAATTTGAAATGAAACCTTTCTTTTTCAAAAAGTATGAAAACAAAATACTATTTTTAAACTGTGTACTGGGACTGGTGCTGATCAGAATCTTGAAATCGTCACAGGAGAAAGGGAACCAAAGGGATGAAATGGCATCATGGGAACTCGTGCTGGTCATCATTGGATGTTGATACAAGCTGCCATCACTGCTGCCATTTGGATGTCTTCAAAGGCTGCCGTATGGGAAGTACTAACTGGGCTGGTGGCTGCCTTGTTCAACGGAGATATGAAATATTGACTCTGGCCGCCCAGGAGAAGATCTGCCAGTGATGCATCAACTTGCTCTGGTGCTGGCAGAGGATGGGCAAAGTTTTGCGATGTGATCCTTCTAATTCCACGGGCTGCTTACCGGTATCATATCTGGCTCCTAGCTAGCTGCAGCTAGCTAGTGCATGTGAGTTCTTTCATCCAGTGCGATGCATCGGCTTTGAAGAAGATGACAATGTCATGCGGGCTCTCTAGAAGCAAATATTGTTTGCTTGCCCTTATCTTGGCCTCTACGAGTACGACTGTAGTTCACACTTTCTGTGATTGAATAATTCCGGGCTTCAGATTTCAGACTGGGTCTGGATAGCTGGATAGGTCGCTTCAGCTACTGGTACGGGGTACGGTACTGGTATTGTTACAGCTATTGTTGTCGTATCGCACTTGCTAGGTAGAACCGTAAGTACAGTACCGCACTCGCACAGTTCAAAATCTCTGGCTACGCCCTTGTACATAGTGGCGCGTGCTATGGTCTTTGGATGGTGGTCTGCATGACCCGAAACTTGAAGGCATGGTTGGTTTGTTTAATTCATGCACTGTTTCCAAGTTGAACCATGACCCGCAATGCGGCAAAGCAAGTTCTTCAAGGCAACAATTCATTATGAGGCGGTTTCAGCGAGTATCAGCTGTTTTGGTACCAGTTTGAAGGGGTATCCTTTCTATTTCGAAAACTTGGAGAGAGCTATGCGAAGTCCTGCCGCGATAGGTTCATTGTTCGCCGAGGCCGAGGGCTTTTTGATTCCATGACCTGGTCCGCTTCAGTCAATATCGTTTTTGTCTATTGGCACCATGCTACGCAGGCGGAAGCAAGGATAGATGGTAAGATTCACTTTTAGATAAAGAAAGCGGGGATGGGTCGGTGTGCTGCTCATAAAAACCATCAGCTACCAGTTTTATAGGTTCCCGTTGGTTTCTTTGGCTTGCTCATTTTACTGGTAAAGACAACTCCACACAATTTTCATTTTCGTTTCTTCTGAACAACCATGGCATCGTTCCAAGCCTCTGACGAGTTTGCGGCAATGGACCGTGGCACTGCTTCTTCACCTGATGTGGTGGATGACGACATGCCTGCAGAAGTAGATGGGCGGGAAGAAATGATCTTGCAAGAAGAGATACCTTCATGGAAAGACGAGCACAAGAACAAGTTGGACGATATCATCAGCAGTAGAAGATCCGGTAGAACCTCAGGGCCCAGCAAGCCTAAGCCTGAGCATGCCAAGAGTGGCGGCCGCCGTGAAGAACGGGTCGCTAGTAGATCAGACCACGACGAAAAAAGCAGAAGAACCAGGTCGAAAGGTAGAGTTCCCCCCAGAAAGGAAAGTGAAAGCTTTACCAAGAGCGTGCAACGGGAAAGGAGTTCCAGTACGAAAAGACTCAGGAGAAGCCAGAGCGCTGGACTTCCAGGCAACGATGAACCTGACCATGGTGGCGCCAACTACGAAAGGTCCAACTCCAATAGAAGGTTTCGAGGAACAAGCCGAGGACTGAGCAATGGCGAGAGTCGTGACGCGGATAAGATGGCCACGAGGAGCAGCAGCCAACACGGAGACCGTCGCAGAAAGAATGGCGTTGCACAGGCAGATCGACCCAAGAGCAGTCGCGACTTGTGTGGTGTCCGGTCGCGCTTTCGAAGAAGGTGCTCCACGGGAAGTTGGAACACTGATCCCTACGATGATCTACAGGAGAGACAGTCAAGTGAACGCAACCAAGTGCCACCAGCAAAAGAGGACCGTATCAACACCCGCGGGAACCGAACTAGAAGCCTGAGTCCATCCAAGTATGCAGCCGCTACCAAGGACAAGGACAAGTTGCAGCGGCACTTTTCCGCACACACCAGCTCTGAAAAGCGTCGACCCAAGTTGCAGCGATCGCTTTCGTTTGACAGTGGTAGTGGTATCGTGCGCTTGGAGGAGGACCACAGCAGACTGAAATCCACGAGGCCCGCCGCCAAGTCGACCGTTGCAAAGAGATTGACGGGGCAGGCAACGTCCTCCAAAAAGCCAAGTAGTGCGCATGCTAGTCCTCGTCGACAGAGCTCCATTCGAAGGCTCCCACCAAGAAACGGCAGTTTGGGCTTGAAAGGAGGAGCCAAACCCCACCGGGTGCGATCCAAATCTGGTCAACGCCGGCGTACCATGTCGTTCGGTGAAAGCTCCTGCGATCAAGCGTCTGGTGGTTTGGAAGTGACGAGACATTCCAGCGATCGTGCCACCGGCAACGTAGTTGCAAGAACACCCACAAACAAGCCTTACCCCGATGACATTGACTCTTCCGTGTCGGATATTCCTCGTGTTGTCAACGACCTGGACATTGATCTTTCCATCAGCGACGTTTACCTGCCTTCAGACCCATGCAGCCACAGCAACGTGAACAAGATTCCCACCAAGTGCCAAGAGCGTGCCAGGAAGTCCTTGGAGACCAGTCGAACCAGGATGGCTGTCGAAACCCTTGCCAACATGAAGTTGAGTGATAGCCATACAACTGTTACGACGGTTGATTGCTCAAGTATGGAAGATTCTATTGAATCAATCTCATCGCCGCCAGATAGGAACAGCAAGGTTCAACAGATAGCTCAGCAGATCCTGGAGCTGCGACAGAGCTGGAAGGATGCATCGACGGAGGCGGCCTTGCAGGTGCCCGTTCCAAGGAGGCTTTAGATATTCCATGTGATTTGTATCGTTACCATGCGTTATCACTGCATCAAGCGGCGAGGATGTACATGGACATGATGTATCTTGTACCGTAATCCTCCATTTGGCATAAGAGCAAGATAGCTTATTTTCGTTGTCACCAGCAGCATTTCAGAAAGTTGTGCCAGCATTTTGATTGAAGTCTTTATTTGTTAGGTCCCTCCTTCACTGGCACCCTCCATACATGAAGTTGTCTAGAGCCACTACTAAAAGCTTTAGCCAAACGCACCACACATAGCCAATGTTTCCTGGTCTCAAGATGCGCTTGGCGCCATTCCCTCAGAGCCCAAACCCCGTCGTAGCTTGAGTTTTGCAGCTCTGCTTGCCTAAACGAAAGTGAAGACTGCATCCTGTGGGATCTTCAGATCGATCTGGTTCGATCCGACGAACCCCAAAAGAGGATCTTGTTCCACTCTTTTGTTAAAGGTGGTTGCCCCTCTGTTGCAGCGGAGGTGTCACTGGAACGTTTTTGAGATCCACACTTTGCCACGAGCACAAAAAAAAAATCAACAGCTCGAAGTTGATCTTTCACTGAGACTTCGCTCCTGGGAAGGCAACGGCCAAACAAAGCTCCTCATCCTCTCACAATTTCAATCATCAACAAAAGCAAAAGCTCAAATCTTCACCTAGCAACTACCTCCGCATCCTTCTTTTTTCGTATCTCCTTATTTCTCACCATCAAACACCATGGAAGCAAGCAACGAACTCAGTACAGGAAACAACGGAGCTGCCCCTACTCCACCCTTCAAGAATGGAGGATTTGTCCAGCAACTCATCGACTTCAAGAATGGGTACAAAATGAGAGGAGGAGATTGGGGCAGTCTCACACAGATCTTCTTTGACAATCTCTCGACCCTCTTAGGAGCGCTGTTTGCCATCCAAGACATGCGCAATTTTGGAGCTCCTATGGATTCCATCAACTCCATCATTTGGGGCAAAATTGTTCCAGGTGTTGGATTGACCATGATCCTTGGGAATGCCTACTACTCCTGGCAGGCCATTCGTCTGACCAAAACCTGGGGGCGTCCCTACACGGCCCAACCCTATGGACTCAATACACCTGCTGCCTTTGCCTTTGTCTTCAATATCATGTATCCTGTCTACTTTGCCAATGTTGGAGACAAGGGTCCTGCTGAAGCCTTTAGTATGGCCTACAAGGTGGCACTGGCTGCAAATTTCATCACTGGACTCATCTCCACAATCTTGGCAATTTTTGGACCTTTTATCCTCAAAGTTGTTCCTCCTGCAGCACTCTTGGTCCCCATTGCCGGCATCGGTGTTGCCTTTTTGGGGCTTGAACAAGTCACCAACAGTTTGGCTGCACCTCTTGTTGGATACAATTGCATCATGTGGGTATTCTTGGGATGGTATGCTGGAGTCCGCCTTGGCTTTGGTTCCTTCCGAATGCCAGAAGCACTCCAGGTCATTTTGGTTGGTGTTGCTCTGGGATGGGCCACTGGCATCAATGAAGGACAAGCTGTTCAGGATGCCGCCGGATTGGTCAAATGGTACGGACCTACCTGGACGGCAGGGGATCTCTTTGCCGATTTTGGAATGGTCAAGGATTACATGGGCATTGTCATCCCAATTGGAATCTCTGCCACTGCCACTTCTTTGATGTGTTTAGTCAGTGCCAAGCAGGCAGGAGATCCGTATCCAGTCAGAGAAAGTATGATTGTTGATGGAATTGGAACAGTGAGTCTGAAACATTCTTATCACATCTCTCTTGACTTGTGGAACAGAACCCAACAAAACTCACCACTGTTTCTTCTCAAATATTATGTTAGATGATTGCCAGCTTCTTCGGAAGTCCATTTGGAACTACCCTTTATATTGTGAGTAAAGCACCGGCTTCAATTTCCATTTCTGATCCTTCTTGCTTGAGTGCCATCAGCAGTCCTCATCATGCCACATGCCTTGTTTTAATACTCTTAGGGCCACCCTGCTCACAAGAAGAGTGGTGCTCTCACTGGATACAGTCTTACCAATGGAATCATTTACCTCTTGCTATCCTGGTTTGGAATTCTGGCTTTGATGCAATCCATTGTCAACCAAGCTACCATTGGACCCATTGTCCTGTTTGTTGGTCTTGCAGTCAATGAGGAGGCTCTCAACTTCATCCCCTCAAGACACTATGCTGCCTATGTGGTTGGGTACGTGCACACATCAATTCAACCCAAATGACTCTACTCACTTGCTGATGCTAACCTGACTGTTGCTTCTTTGGCTCTCCCAAACCAACCAACCAACAACTACAGTCTTTTCCCCTCCATCTATGACTGGGTTGTCAACGTTTCAAACAGGAGCCCCATCCAAGATGAATTTGGAGGCAACATCAATGTGACAGGCTTGAACAGCTGGTTTGGAGTCTTGGCTTGGAAGAGAGGTGCTCTCTTGGTGTCCTTTGTGTGGGTGGCAATGCTTGTCAAAGTAATTGATCGTCACTGGTCAATGGCAGCTGTCTGGTCCTTGATTGGAGCTGCCTTTGCTCTGTTTGGAATTATCCATGTTCCTGAGGCTGGATTTGATACTTTTACTCAGCCAACATGGGAACAATGCAGCACTGTTACTTCCTGTACAGGAGAAGGGGAGTTGGAAGTATGCACCAACTCGGTTGAGTGTTGGGACCATGGTGAACAGTGGATGTTTACCGTTGGCTATGTCATGTTTGCAGCCACCTTTATGGTTATTCACTTTGCCCAAAAGTATGGAAATGATCCCACCCTGTTGCCACCCATTGTTGATGAAGAGAATGACCAGGCATTTGCTGATTGGTTTGCAGATGCTGCAATTGACACTAGCAAGCAACTTGAAAATCAACCAGAAAAGCAAGAAACAGAAGTTTCCATGGGTACTGATCCTCTAGACTCCAAGAGCACTGAAGATTTTCCAGATATGGAACAAGAGGAGGATATGGAGGAGGAAGTTTCAGCATAGAATGGCAGTTGCTTATTGAATCCCCACCGATTGAAGCCGGTCCTTGATCCAACAGTTGCTTCATTGGACTTGGCTTGATCAATCATGTTTTTCTTGGTGTTTGCATATTATGGTGATGATGAGTGAGTTTTGAATCTTTTGCTTCGATAACGAATTTAGTATACTTTTAGCTTTTTGAAATACTGCTGCTTCTACCGTACTGTAGCACCAAAGGCAGCGGCGTTGCCATCCCAACCGATTCCCAGCTACAGCAGGCGAGCCTTGCTAAAGAACCAAGTGCATGGATCCGGGGGCATGCAGATGCCATGGCCAAGACAAGAATCCCGACGACCAAGCTCCGAGTGCTGCCGAGGGTTGCAGGGTTCGAGGGGTGTAGGCCGGTGGGGTCATGTTCAGTGCCCCTGTTGCTTACTGTAGAAGAATGCCAGTCGTTCTCCAGTGAATAAAGCCTTACTTGGCACAATGTCTTCTGAGTTCTCCCAGTATTCCAACCAGTGATCTGACACTGGCGTTCCATATCGGTAATAAGTATGGTGGTACTAGTACTAGTACCAGTGTACCAGTAGTTGGGAAGACTTAAAGACTGCCGGACGAATGACGATTCATCAAAAACTCATTCACTCCAAGGAAGTTGCTGCCAAATGTGGCAACTGACACATCACCATGGCCCATGGTTGATTGGTCTCTCACTTTGAGCTACTTGATTGTTGCTGAGGCGCCGAGAAAGACCATTTTGGCACCTCCATTACGACTGCAGTTCGAGGCTGTTGACACAATCCTCTTTATTTAGCTAGTGAGCTGACACCACATACATCTATTGCTCTTGTTTTGAGACTCGACTCAAATCGGTTTGTTCTGAAGATGGTTGGAACTCGTTACCAGGGGGTTGACAACAGCAATTACTTGCCTCCGGAGCCCGGCTGTTCCCAGATTCCCATGGAGCCAGAAGCCAAGGAGGAGGAACCGGCTGAGCCTGAGAACTCGTGGCAATCGGAGCAAAAGAATCGTCTTTCAGGCATCATCACTCGGCGCCGCTCCGCTGTGGGGTTGATGGCTGCAGACGATGCTGATGATGGTTCTCCCATGAAGGGCGAAAAGACCCGACCAGACGATCGCATCGCCAAAAGGACACTTGGGCAATGCAGTGGAATGGCTCGCAGTTCCTCCAATCCAAGCCTTCGAGATGCCCGTCACGGTACCAGTAAACCATCGAAAGTGTATCCCCTCGAACACAACGACAAACCCACAAGGGGAGAAAGAAGAGGCAATGTCGGTCCTCAATCCAACTTGCTGCAGAGACAATCCAGTAAGAATGACCTGCTCAGAGGCCACAACAGTAGCCACCATTTGCGAAATCGACGCAGGAGTCGAGCTCCCATGGATACCAACACCGTGCAACGTTCCAGCTCCAATCCCAACTTGATAGATAGCTTGAACAAGGCACATGCCACTAAGAATGACCTTCTCAAAGGCAACGGTAGTAGCCACCATGCACGAAGTCTGCACAGGAGGCGGGCTTCCATGGATTCCAACACCATGCAACGTTCCAGCTCCAATCCCAACTTGATGGATAACTTGAAGGCACATTCCACTAAGAATGACCTTCTCAAAGGCAACGGTAGTAGCCACCATTCACGAAATCCGCACAGGAGGCGGGCTTCCATGGACACCAACACCATGCAACGTTCCAGCTCCAATCCCAACTTGATGGATGGCTTGAAGTCACGATCTTCGTCGCGTCTGCGTCGTGCGAGCTCGAATCGCAAATTGATGGATCAGAAGCAGCAGCAGCACAATCAGCAGCAGCAGCAAGAGCCATCCTCCAAGCCAACGTCTCGCCGATCAAGCATGGCACGACCACGGTCCAACCCAAACCTGATGAAGGCTGCGACAACAAACACCACAAACAAAAACGGTTGTCCCCGACGAGCCAGTTCCAACGGTGACTTGACGTTGTTGAAGAAGAAGACAGATTCCAACCCCAATCTTCTGGGTCACCAGCGCAGAGTCTCCTCCAAGACTACAGCAACGAATCCTGCGAAAAAAGATTCGAAGCAACCTCGTCGCTGTCACTCCCGGGCCCAATCCTTTGACGAGTCCAAAGATACAGGGAAGATTCTCCCCAACTGGAGACGAAGAAGCAAGTCGTCACAGGAAGAAGATGATGAAAGCGACGAGAGCGAACATAACAACAAGAGGGATCCCGTAGCAATGTACAACAGAGTCAGGCAACGGGTGACGGCGGCAATGAGAGAGGATCGCTCCATCGACGACATTGACTCGTCGGTGGATGACATTGATATGTCGGCCGTGAGCAGGGATATATCATGGGGCGATGTATCCGATTCCGATATTGATTTGTCAGTGGCCAACTTGCACATGGCAAAGAACGCCGGATGCCATGGTAGCAGTCGCGAGTTTCTGACCAGCAACAGCTTGTTGAATCTGGGACTGCAAGGGGACTTCTTGTGCCGCACCAAACTCGATTCCGAGGACAAGACTGACAATCCACATACTGACAGTGGTCGTGGAAGGCGCCAGAAAGCCAAACAGGCAAAGCCACAACCCATGACAAAGTTGGACCAAGTCATGGCCATCCAAAGAAATTGGAAATCTGCCTCCAACCAATTGGCCCATGTTACCTTGTAGTATGCACGTGGGACAGGAGGAGTTGGGATTTCATTTCTTGCTTCATGTTATGTGTGATTGTAATCATGGTCTCTGTTCAGGTACGTTGGTCGAAACAGCTCGAGATGACAAAGAAAGCGCCTCGAAGGGATAGGCATTCTACGAGGCCAAAATCAAACCACTACCGTATGGACGAGAACGGAAGGGAAGACTCTTGTCAAGTAAGACTATGTAGGATCAGTTGACAAGCCAAAAGGCTCCATCAGAACTGATGATCATGAACTAGAAGTACGTAAAAAATATTGTGCAAAGCGGCGCCTCGCTTCGAAACCTAAGCATCGACTTCCTCGGTGAGAGAATCATCTTTGTACTTGACTGGTTCCGCTGCTTGAGTAGGGGCTTCGTCATCCCCATAGGCAGGATGTTCCTGCAACTGCAGTGCCCGTTCGGCGGGTTCCCACCAGGTTTCAAACAGTTTGTCCACACCTTTCTCACTGATCGGTGGCAAGTAGCCATGATCAGCTTCGTATCCCTCCTCTTCTGGCAACGTCTTCTTGCCAAAGTTCTTTTGGAGGAACCAGTAGAACCCACAGACCAATGCCAGGGAAAGGTATCCAATCATAAACTGAAGCGGGGAGGTGCTTTTGGCGTTTCCACCCGTTCCATCGACAAAGCCAGCCACGGCTTCCGATTGATGAATGAGACCCAAAGCGGCAAATCCTGCGGCAAAAATACTAAAGAGTCCAGCCTTGTCCCAGCGTCGGTCGGTCGTGTACACAATGATGGCGCACCAGAGCATGGCACTCAGCGCACTGCCCTTGGACATTGCCAAGGTACCATTGTTGGCAGACGTCGCCATTCCTGGAGGAACATAGGCAGTGAAAATGTAGTCTGCAACACCAAAGAAAAGACCAAAGAAAATGGCGGCATGGTGTCTGGGAGCAATATGTTTGGTGCACTCTGTGCATAGGGCCAGGTGGGAACGACCAGACAATGAGACCAGACCCACAGAGTAAAGGATCCCAACACTTTCGCGTATCCAGGAAAGCGCAACTTCTTACCTTCGCAAATCATGATTCCAAATATCATGATAATGGGGCCAATGGCAATAACGGGGACGATAGAGAGAATGGTGGGGATGACGCCTGCCAGACACAAGATGAGGTAAATGACTCCATTCATGAGGGAGTACCCTGTTTGTGCTCCGACCCTCTTGTGCACTGGATGACCAATGTAGACGACAGTACCAAAGGGAGAGCCCAACATGGCCCCAATCATTGTCCCAAAGCCGTCGGCAATCATTGTCTCTCGAATGGGGAAGGGATCGCCTGCCTTTTGAGCCGACACCAAACACATCATATCAGTGAAACTGGCGGCAATGGAGAAGGGAAGCACAATACCAATGTACGATCCGACATCGGAGAACCCACGGATAAAGGCATCGCCAATCCAAGCCCCGCCTTTGACCGGTTCCGTGACGCCATCTTGCGTTCCATATGCCCAGCCAGCTATGATTCCAAAGACGACCACAGGGATGGCTTCTGGCATGTAGTATCCCTTACCCAAATGGATTCGTCCAAGGCCGTAGTATTGGCTAAAGATGAGAAAGATGGGGATCAAGCCAATGGCGGGAGTTTCAAAGTTGGGGGCAATCTGATTGAGGGCAAGCCACGTGAATCCAATCCCAGCCAAAGGCACAAGCATGGACGCAACGGGGAAGTGCTGCATCATGAACTGTCCAAAAAAGCCCAGGACAATGTTGATAATGCCCGTGAGAAAGTTCCCGGCGACGCACACACGCCATGCCAAGTCGATTCGTTCATTTTCTTCTTGCAAGATTTCCTCCGCGGTACAAGTTTCCTCCGTGCACTGAACCTGATACGAATAGTAGACACCGTAGATAATGCCAAAGATGAATGGGAAACCACCGGCCGTGTTCAAGCCGTAGGGTTGGGCGGTATACGCTCGTTGATACTTTTTGGACATTCGGATTGCCTGCCAAGTGTAATAGACATTGCCCAGGAACAACATGATGCCAGCCGCGGGCACGATGCGTTGGTACAAGATCTCCTGAAGGTGTGCATTGGACGGGTTCAAACCCAGAATGGCGCCGGCAAATCCCAGCAAGGTACTGAGGTTGTCAAAGAACAGCGAAAACAAGGACACAAAGTCGCCGGCGAGGAATCTTATTGCATGGTGAAACAAAGCAATGCAAAAAACTGATGAGGAGGCAGAACCCTTGAAAGGTATGTTCGACCGAAGCATGCCCCAACGAGATAAACTCACGTGACGCCTCCTCGAAAGGTGCGCACATCGGCAACAATCCGACTGCTCATGCGCCTGGTGAAGCTGGGTCGAAACGTGGCCTCACCACTTTCGTTTGGTTCCTCCGCCATTGTCATCTTATCAATCAATCAGGTAGTTTGCAAGAGGATTTACTGCTTTACTGCTACTATCCGTGAACCGAAGATACCTGTGTACTCGGAGCCCTCCTGACAGAAAAATGAGGGTTGGCCCCAGAATTCAAAGAAGTTGAAAAAGATGAGGGGTGAGGCCAAACAAAGTGGTACGGTACAGATCTTGGAACTGCCGTCCTTGAAGAAGAAGTAGAACCCTTACGCCTCAACCGAAGATTCAGTGTACACCGGTATGGTACCGGTGGCTCTGACCGAAACAATCATTTAACAATGAGAGTTGCCCGAAGAATTGAACAATGAACCACTTGAAAAAGGAAAAAGAATCGAAGTTCAGTCTGTGTGAGATGGATGATGTGAGGCGTGAGGCGAAACAAAGAGGGGAGCTTACAAGCAATTGCCGACCCTTGAAGAAGAAGTAGAACCCTCTGCCAGGTACTAGAGTTGATGCCAAAGATCCAAATTCTTGGGAAAGATGGCAAAGATCCAAATTCTTACAAAAGATCCAAAGATCGAAAGCCCTCCACCTTCTGCCGCTGCGCGTACTAGTACCGGTACCACGTACGGTACCGGTACCGCTACCAAATACGGTACGGTGCGAACAGCAGCAAGGTGGGGAACCAGACTGCAATCCTTTTTTGACAGTTTCTCAAATGAGAAAGTAGTTTCTCATTTGAGAAACTAAGTTCTGAAATGAGAAAGTTAGTTTCTCATTTGGTTGAAATGAGAAACTATCTTTTGAAATGAGAAACTATATATGAAACTGCTAGTACATGTGTTGTGATTTCTGCCAGAAATGAGAAACTATTTTATCAAATGAGAAACTAAAACTGTTAGTTTCTCAAATTGAGAAACTAAAAATGAGAAACTAAAACTAAAAATGAGAAACTAAAACTGTTTGAAAAATTTCAAAACATCATTGGGGTTTCGGGACCTTGCTGTAACTGACTCTCACTCGTATTTTAATTAATTAATTTTATTAAAATGAATTTTGTAAAAATGAAAGTAACAAAAATGTCCAAATAAATCGAGTCCCACGAAAGCGACGCAGCGACGTCGCAGCGACGACGCAGCGTCGTCGCTGCGACGCTGCGTCGCTTTCGTGGGACTCAATTTGAAACGAACATTTTAAATACGTTTCAAAATATCCAATCCACAGCCAGCCTACGTAGTGAAGCTTCGCGCGAAAAGGGCGCATGCACCTCTGCAGCCCCGATTCCTCACTTTTGTTCTTTTCTTGGATCGATCGATCTTTGTGAAGAAGCAGGTGTCTGCAGTGGTCAATCTTACCAAGCTACGAGCAAGTGCCAAGGCAAATCCACAACAGCCTACTCTAGTACCCACCTTTCCAACGAACAAAACTCCTCAGAAACTACCTGTGGTG